TAACATTGTTATCTTTTTACAAAAACCAGCTGAACATGAGAGGTTTTTGGACCAATTTTGTGTTCTCCATTCTTTAAGCACCGGTTTGAGCACCGTTTAAGCACCGGCACCGTTTCAAAAGTACCGGTTTGGCACCGGTATCGGATAAAACCTAAACGATACCCATCCCTACTTTTACAGCTGTTACATTTTACAGCTGGACATTTTTCCTGATTATGACAAATCGATCACAGAGCAGTGTGTTATGTGCTTAAAGGTTTGTGTAGATGAGTTTTATTTAAACAGTTACTGCTGCATCATCTTACAGTAAATGTTCCAGGCACTTAAACCTACACAGTAACACAGGTGTGAACAGGAACAAAGGAAGAAATTACAAACAGAAAGCCACACGAGGAACTAACCGTAAAAAAATTAAACCTAGGAAGTGTTAAAGTTGCAAGGAAGATCAAAAATTGATGTTTTTGAAACTTTTGGATCAGTGTTTACACAATAAAATATATTTTATAAATTTGGCCTTTTCTCTTCTTGGTGTTCTTAATGTTTAGTCTTTTGTTAAGAAAAGTAGAGGGGATTTGATGGTTATTTTTGTGTTCATAAGATATTATGTATTTTGATAAGTACATGTAGTGTTATGATGAGCTATAGAAACATCTACAGCAAACACTGGGCCGGGATTTGGATCTGAGCCTGAAGACGATGATGCACCGAAGTGTTCATACTGATGGGACTCCTCATGTCCCACTCATCTCACTGTGAACTCAGCATCTGTTGAGTCACATCATGTTTGACACATCTTCACTTCAGACCCTCTTCTGAGTGTCAGCAACGTTTCTCTTACTTTATGTCCTGGCTGTTTGATCACAGAGCAGTCGATTACAGATTCATTTGCTTCGTTATTTTGTGACAAAGAAAACCATTCATTAGTGAGAATATTTCTTTTTAATTTCTTTCTTCCTTCCTCAGAGAAACACTATGTGGATGAAGATCTCTCTGCACAGATGCAGAAAGTAAGTTTAAAATATCAGTAAATTAAAAACAGTCCTGATTCAACTGTATTAATCTGTTATCCACAAATAAAATCATTTCCAAATCATGTCACTTTGTCTGTTTTAAATTTTGTCAGGCATTAACAGTCCAATCAGACAGAGAGAAGCTTTTGGGAATGTTGAAAGATCTGAAAAAGGAGGAGCTTGAAAAGTTCAAGTGGTTCCTGCGGGACCGTGATGTTTTGGTGGAGCTCCAACCCATCCCAGAGAGCCGACTGGAGAAGACCAGCACCTGTGACCTGGTGGATCTGATGTTGCAGACCTACACAGAAAAGTCTGTGGAGGTGACCAAGAAGGTTTTGAAGAAAATCACGTCAAGTCTACAAAAAGGTATCATCACTGTACCACGTTCACTTTGAAGATTTATTTTAGCAATCATTATTTCAAGTTGCAGGGAATCCTGAACACACCGGCTGAGTGAACGCTGCCGCGTCTGGCTGCTGCGTCTGGCTGCTGCGTCTGGCTGCCGCTTGTCACCGATTTATTCTCGTTTTTATTTGTTCTACAGTTATTGATGACAACTTGAACCAAGTATTTAAAGCGTAATCCTGTTTTGACTTGCTTTCCCAATATTTCCGGTTTTTTATTGCTCGCACTCTAGCTGCCTGCTCGGTCTTTTACCCTCATCGGGCCTTTCCAACCGGCTACATTCAACGAGGGCCTGATCAAGATGTGGATCCACAGGGTGTCTGTGTGGTCCGTGCTCACCTGGACTGTTTTTTCCATCGCTCGTCACCCAGCGACAGCTTTACTTCAGTACTCTGCTACGGAACTTCTGCGACTCATTTAGCCTGGCTGTCTGTCCACCTGTGGCTCTTTACCTCTATCCAGACATCGCTTTCAAGTCCCGCCGCAGGTACATCCACCGTGGGCTCCGGCGAAACTTCAATACTATTGACACTAACTCAATAGTGTCCATCTGGTCCAAAACTCATCGTTCTCCCCGCAAAACTGACAGGGCTGTTGACCACAATGTGCTGGCCCACCTTGCTTGGACAGCTAAGCCTACTGTCAGACATGGTAATTCCAGCATCAACTGGTGGTGGTCAGAGGGCCCGGTGGCGCCAGTGTCCGGCAGCCTCGCCTCTGTCAGTGCGCCCCAGGGCAGCTGTGGCTACAATGTAGCTGCCATCACCAGTGTGTGAATGACTGAATGTAGTGTAAAGCGCTTTGGGGTCCTTAGGGACTGAGTAAAGCGCTATACAAATACAGGCCATTTACCATTTATCAACTTGGGTCTATTAAACATCCGCTCCATTACTGGTAAGGTGCATCTCGTCCAGGATCTCCTCTCGGACCGTGAGTTGGATTTTCTTTGCTTGACTGAAACGTGGCAACAGCCTAAGGATTTTGTTTCACTTAATGACTCCACTCCATTTGAGTTTGTTTACATCTGTCAACCTCGCAACTCCGGGAGGGGTGGCGGCCTCGCGATAATTCACCGCAAGCACCGGAAAGTTCTCCCTGTCTCTGTCCCACCCTTCCACTCATTTGAATACATCGCAATACAGCTCCCTGGACCTACTCCCGCCATTATATGCACTGTGTACCAGCCACCTAAGCCAAATAAGTATTTTTTTAAATGACTTTGCTGCTCTTCTTACTCATTTCTTGGTACTTTCCCCAAATTTGATAATTGTTGGTGACTTCAGTATCCATATGGACAATGATAAAATCCCTCTTTTCAGAGATTTTACTTCTTGTCTGGAAAGTTTTGGACTCCTAAAATACATAAAATTTTCTACTCATTCTAAAGGTCATATCTTGGATTTGGTCTGCTGTTCTGGCGTTACCCCCACTCACTGGGAAGCCCATTTGTTTCCCCAATCTGATCATAACTTTATTTCATTTACTGTAAATACAACAGCCTCTAAAACCTGTACTCCCTGTGACATCACATTTAGGAAAATTAGTAATATTAACCCTGCTGATCTTTCATCTGCCATTTATGACTTTCCATTTATCCACAGCTCTTCATCCCCAGATGAACTTGTTTCTCACTATAATATCAACCTCCATAACCTTCTTAACATATTTGCTCCACTTAAACACCGAACTGTCTCATTTTCCCGTTCAGCACCATGGTTTACTCTTAACATGCACAATCTCAAAGCTAAAGGTTGCCAACTGGAACGTCTGTTCAAGAAAACCAGACTTACCATACACAAAGAAATGTATAACGATCATATCTTGTTGTATAAGGACTGCATTGCTTCAGCCAAATCTGCAAACTATTCTGGTGTAATCAGTTCTAGTGAAAGTAAGTCTGGTTTCCACCCCAATCATAGTACAGAAACTGCTTTAAGAATTACTAATGACCTTCTGATGGCAGCTGATTCTGGTCTTTTAACCATTCTCATCCTTCTGGATCTTAGTGCGGCATTTGACACAATTTCTCATAATATCCTCAGCAGATTAGCTGATTGGCATTAGTCACACCCTCCTTGCCTGGTTCACCTCATATCTCTCAGACCGCACTCATTTTATCCAACTTAAATCACACTCTTCAAGTCTCTATCCTGTTTCTGCTGGTGTGCCCCAGGGTTCAGTATTAGGGCCTCTTTTATTCATTATCTACATGCTCCCTCTTGGCCAAACATTCCAAAAGTATAATATCATTTTTCATTGTTATTCTGATGACACCCAGCTCTATATTTCCTCCAAACCTAATTCATCCCTCCCACCTACCTACCTCTCGAACTGTCTTATGGATATCAGATCTTGGTTCTCCTCCAATTTTCTCAAACTTAACAGTAATAAAACAGAAGTTTTACTCGTTGGCACGGCCTCTACCTTAACCAAATCTCACAGTTTCTCCAATAATATTGGAAAAATCCCCCATCCTTCCTTCCCCGCAGGTAAAGAGTTTGGGTGTCATACTTGACATTACTCTTTCATTTCAGTCTCACATTAATTACATAACCTGCATACCTTCACTTACGTAACACTAACAGACTTCGTCTCTTCCTTACTCCCCATGCTGCTGCCATCCTTGTCCATAGTCTTATTACTTCCCGGATCAATTATTGCAACTCCCTCTTATTTGCTCTCCCCAATAAGCAAAGACCAAAAACCACAACATCACTGTTTTACCAGCTGATAAGGGAAGATGCACCGTGGTCCTAAACACTACAGATTACCATACAAAGATCACTACTCTCCTCAGTGACAACAATACCTACGAAGCCTTAAAGCGAGACCCCACAAGCAGCTA